AGATGACTCTATGATTTTTATCCAAGCTTCCCAGACAATGGCACAAGACTGTGCACAGTACTCTGCTATTATATGAGGTTGCAACCTATCAGAAAGTCAACTTTCAGAAGTCTGCCATCACCTTTAGCCCCTGTGTAGATGAGAATACTAGGGCCTCCATTTTCTCTGTCTTGGGGCTTGATAGGGCCCAGTCATATGATCAGTATGTAGACCTCCCTTTGGTAGTTGGAAGAAACCATCGTCAGACTTTTGCTTCAATCAGAGACTCAGTTTGGAAAAGAGTCCAAGCTTGGAGGAGGGCTCTTTTCTTAGCTGTGGGGCGAGAGGTTATAGTAAAAGCTTTTTTGCAGGTGATCTCATGCTATGTGATAAGTATCTTTCGTATTCTCATTTCTTTGTGTAGGGAGATTGAGTTTATCATTATGAGATTCTGGTGGGGATCAACTTCTGGTGAGAGAAAGATTCACTAGGTTAGGTGGCAGAAGGTATGTCGTGCAAAGTCAGAGGGTGGTCTAGGATTTAGAGATCTACAAATGTTTAATCAGGCATTGGTGGCTAAGCAAGCATGGAGGATCATTCAGGACCCTTCTTCTCTGGCTAGTAGAGTTTTGAAGGGGAAGTATTTTAGGGACTCAGACTTCCTTTCAGCTGGTGTTGGTTCTGGCTGCTCTTATTTATGGCGGAGCATTATCTGGGGGAGAGAGTTCCTAGCTCGAGGTCTGAGATGGAGGATAGGTGATGGCCAGAATGTCTCTATCAGTGCTGACCCATGGATCCCAAGGCCATTTTCTTTCAGGCCAATCACTTCTTCGATCGGCCTTTCCGGAAGGATGGTTGAACTGATCTCTGCTTCGGGTACTTAGAATCATGAGTTGATTGCTACCTCCTTTTGGCAGGTAGGTCGGGAGGACATTTTATTTATCCCATTGCCGCCTTCTCCTATCCCTGACAGGCTCATTTGGCATTATGAGGAGAATGAGTGCTACACAGTCAAGAGTGGATACCGACTTCTTCGCCATACTATGTCTGATACTGCTTTCACCTCGAATTCTAGGGGTGGCGAAGTGGTGGTCCTTGATCTGGCATGTGGAGATCCCACCAAAGATTAGAGTGTTCCTTTGGCGCTCTTCTATGATGCTCTCCCTACCTCAGCTGGCTTATCTCGCAAGGGATCTCTGTGCTCCCTAGTTGCTGTCTTTGCTCTGCTGCCTTTGAGATTGCCCTTCATATCTTCACCGTCTGCTCATTTGCTCGTTTAGTATGAGAGTCCTTAGATCTTTGGGAAACGATTGATGGTTTTTGAGGAACGTCTTGTGGTGATTTCCTTTTCCATCTCACCTCTGTTTGCCTGGGGACTCTCTGGCTTTGGCTTTCACAACCATGTGGTTTATATGGGGGGAAAGGAATAAGCGCTCTCATGGTGGTGGTGTTAGAGAGGCTTCGGTCGTGGTGACTCGGATTCACTGTTTTGTGGAGGTAGGGGATAGAGTTAGAGGTCTCTCCCGTGACATTGTCACCCCTTCCGAATGGCCTTCTGCTTAGTATCCCCCTACTCCTGGTTTGCTGAAGCTCAACACAGATGTTGTTGTTCCTCTGGAAGGAGATATTATTGGTTTGGGAGGAGTTATTCGGGATCATCATGAACATATGATTGGTTGCTACTCTATGCGGCTCAGGGGTCCTATATCTGTGGATCATGCGGAGCTGTTGGCTGTCCTGGAAGGCATTCGCTTTGTTTGGCGTATGAACTGGAGAATTTCAGTGGTGGAAATTGACTCTCTAAGGGTTGTCTCCTTGGTGGACTCTCCTTCTCCTTTTGCTTCCTTGGCTCCTATTGTAGATGAAGTTCGCGCTGGTCTAACTGTTATTGGCTGCTCTAAAGTTTCTTATGTAAGGCGCATTGGTAATGGTGTTGCTCATTACCTAGCTAAGTCGGTTGACTATTTGTCCTCTTGTTTTTTGTCTGTTTCTGTCCCTTTGTTTTTGAGACAGAGTGTTGTTGAGAACTTGGCTGGTTAGGTCACCCTACATGCCTTATCAAAAAAAAAATCAATGAGGAAATAATAGAATATGCATTTCAATGTTAATAGTATTATTAAGGGTTAACTACAAACATACTCTTTGTAGTATCACCCAATTGTAAATTGACCCCCTATAGTTCTACTTTTGCAATACACTCCCTGAGATTTTTTTTACTGTTATAATCTTTAAAAAGTTTGAGGAGGCGGGCAAACCCCATGTAGTTTTATTAGTGATAATAAACCCTCAGTTACTAATAAAAGTTCACTAGGATATAAATGATCTATTCGCGCCTAGGCCAATATTTCAGAGGGCTATTTGCAGCAAATAGAACTACAAGAGGTCAATCCGTAATTGGATGATACTAAGGGGGTCTATTCACAACTAACCATCTAGTGTTAAAATTATATTAACTGCTCTTCCAGTAACAGGAGTGAAAAAGAAACAAATACATCAATAAGACCAGTGACCCAATAACTGATGCACTATATGAGTTGACAGAAAGTTGAGGACCAAACAATCGAATATCAAGTATACTATATTTAACACAGTCTAAGCTCGAAGCTACCATTACCATCAAGCTTGAAGTGTTCAATACAACCCTTCACAATACACAAAACAGAAACAAATGCATGCATCACTCTACTTCTACTACATCAACGGAATATCAATATCCTTAACCAATCTAATGAACAATGTACATCAACAACAATCAGCACCCTCACATTATGCACTGTGATAACTCCATCAACCTCAATTCCGAAGCAGCAGCCTTCGCTCCGAAGCCAATCCAAGTTCAAGGCACTGCTGAGCATCCGGCTTCAAACTCTTTGGAATTGCACCAAATGCTCTCCTCGCAACCTCAATCCCCGACACAGCCTGATGTAATATCGCCGACGCCTCCTCCACACTTTTCCTCAACTCACGAGCATTCAAATAGCTTGACATTGAAGAAGACTTAGGATATGCTGAAGCTACTCTCATCAAATTTCCTTGGTTTAATTCAGCAGCCATAACAAATCTCTCCGTAGCTGCTTCCCACGAGAGCTCGTGCATTTGATTGTCGGACAGAGGAATGGGAGAATCATCGAGGGCTTTGAGAGTTACTTTGACGAATTCTTTGGGGGTCTTGTACATGCGGCAGTTGGCGAATTGCTTGAAGAACTCATTTGAAGGGTGGTTAGCGCAAATGACGATTTTGCCCATGGCGAGTGCTTCTGCTGTGGTTGTGCAAACTACATCAGTGGTGCTTGGGTTTAGGAAAACCTTGTAGCTGAAAGTAAGTGACGATGAGTTAGAAAAAGCAAAAACAAATATTCACAATCCTCCATTCTAACTATAACAGGCACCATATCCCTCGTTATTTACTCATTCCCACTTTTCACCCAAGATTAATCACAAGTTCCTGTTAAAAAAAGATGGTTGAGAATGAGGAAATGGACTTGACTGCTTTTTGGCAGTGAGAAGATCCAGATTCAAACAAATTTCAAGTTTTGCTCGTCCTTCAATGCTAGTAGAAGTTAAGTCATTAATGGAGTATGTAATATCTTTAGTAGAATTTGAGTCGTTAATTGAGTCTGTAGTTATCTTTAGCGAATCGTGTATTATGTTTTTCCCTGCAGAATTTACCAAGTGCAATTCTAAAAGCCAAGCTGCAGGTATTTTTGTTCCTTTATATGCTGTTTTCTGCATGAATTATGAGGTTCATTTGATCCTGGGTTTTAGAAAATCTATCGGAATTTTCCGGGAAGTGGGATGGGTAGTGGATACAGATGAAGAAAAAATGGTGAGAATTTTCTTGCATGTACTCTTTCATGATACTCGGGGTAAGTATGAGCCCAACAAGCATTTCCATAAGGGAACTGCGGATTGACCACTAGTAGTTCTAATGTTGCAGACTGACCCCCTGAGTAAACTTTTTTTACTCTTAACCCTCAGAGAAAGAAAAATTATTTCTGGCAAATGGACCTCTTGAGGAAAAATAGTCAAAAAGAAAAAAAAATCACTACGGTCTGCAACAATATAACTACAGAGGGTCCATCCACAATTGGGCGATAGTGCAGGGGGTTTATATGCAATTAACACCTTTCCAGAAAGTTTGTGGTCCATTGTACACAAGAGCACACACATACACATAGGCAAGTAGAAAGATATCCATGTGAGTGGTTGACTATTTGATACTTAATTAAATGTTGGAAACTAAAAGCAGACACATTGACTTACTCGTGAAATAATGGGTCTGCATGATCACGGCCTGGGTTAACTCTTACTTCCAATTTCAATCTTTTTGCAGCTTCTTGAACTTGATCTGAGTCTTCTCCACTTCCATATAAGTCAACTTCAAGACTGGATAGTTCACTTTGATGATCTGAAAGTAGTTCGAGGAGCTCTTTGTAGCCTTTGCTCCACACCATCTTCCCAATATAGTAAACACCTTTTGTGAAAGCTACTTCTCCTTTCTGTTGCTGTGCAAGTTTAACCTTTCCAATCTCAAGAAACTTGGGGTTGACACCATGAACATTGCATACAATAGATCTGGGAAGATCTTGGGTGGCAGCTGATAATCTTATAACCTGAAATGCAACAGGATCTTGAACTCATATTACTACAAATTGCCCAAAATGATATATCAATATTATTTTCTACCATCTATTTTAAAAGGTATGGTTGTAAGAGCAATATCATTCATGTTTGCACATATAAGCTCAGGATCTCACGCCTAAAAAAGCCATAACAAACTTTCAGGTCTTATAGATAGAAACTTACAGTTTCTAGATTTTTTTTCTTTATAGAGAAAAGAAGAATAATTGTCATTATGGTAAACTGTAACCCCTTTATTTGCAGTTGAACAATTAATAATCATTGGGAGGGGAAAAAGGCAGAAATAAAAAAACTTCCCATTTGGTGGAACAGGATGCTTAAGGTTACAGATATGGTCTTTCGTCTTAAACATATTGATGGCATTTCTGTTTCTTACTCTAGTGATATTTAAATTTAAACCATCAACTCTATGTAATAAATGATTTAAGAACAATGGAGAATAAACTAAATTGTAGTGTTTCCATCATCATCCAGCTTATCACTCAGCTTTGGATGATATAATTGCTTGACTAGTAAAATGTACACGAGAAGTACAAATAATTGCAAAGGACAATGGAGAATAAACTAAATTGTAACGTTTTCATCACCATCCGACTTTTAAACTACAAACAAGTGTCAGACATGGGTGAGTACATCTATGTCAAAATGTTTTCTCCATGCGAAGAACATTACCATGACTATAGATACCAGAGAAACTTACTTTGTGACAATAAATACGTGTAACCCAACTGTTGGCATATTTCAGAAAGAAGGCAATTACAGATCCATGCTTCTCTCTCTTCACATATTCCAAGTAATTGGTGTGAACAACACCTATGACTAACTGAAATTTGGTTTTCCATCTTCGACCATGATGATACCATGTTAAATGTTCAGGCTCCTCAAGTACCGCAATATTTGCCTCTTCATCAGGGATGCATTCAGTGATGTCTCCAATTGGTAGGATGCTTCTTTTATCTTCAGAAAACTGTGTGAGAGTAAAGATGAGGCACAAAATTTTCCGAACACCCATAAGAATACAAATAAGATTCTTGAATTCTACAGTGCCAGTCTAACTTCACTTAGTAATTAAATAAAGTGATAATTGTTATGGAAAGTCAAGCAAATCAAGTATAAGATAAAAAGGCCATGCGTCAAGTGCAAGGCTTGGTTCTTGAATAAAACACTATTTGCATTTTCTACGAAAATATCACTTTATATTGCTTTTGAATCAAATAGTAGCTGCTAGAGCTAAGTTAAATATCTAGAAGTTTTTGTTCAGATATGACGCCCCGATCATTGTTAAACTCAGCAGGTGTTAAAAAAATTACCTTTCCAGGGTAGAAGCTTATGCTGAATTTAGATGCAAAATCAATTCTCTCTTCCAACCAGCGACGAACATAACTCTCATGTTCTGATGGTGAACTGAAAGTGATTTTGTTTGGATAAACTAGTTCTTGATCCTTCAAAGAGAGCCAAGGAATCACCAAAATGACCTCCCATTCACCGTTCTTTGCGAGATAAGCAGCTCGGAACAAAGGATTGACAGCGGTACCAGTCATCCATGGAAGACTTGCAGTTGTGAATATTGCAATATAATTACTCATAGAGATTTTATCCCAATGAAGGATATTATATCAAACTTCCATTCATCTCAATCCTTACTGAGAAGTATTGTATGGTAAGATCAAACGCCCAAGCTGCAGTTGTTAAAAATTTAATCCTTTTAATAAAAATCATTCACAAACATCAGGAAATATCTTACCAAAACACATTTATAACAGCTAATTCATCATAATAACAGGTAAAAAAATCCAAGCTATGTGCTAAGAACATCTCATCACACCGGTGCTTCATCTATGATTTGTTAATGCATATATGAGTAGTTGACTAAATGCGCAGAACTAGTCTTGCTCCACATGTGTTCCTCTAGAACTACTTGTACTATTTATATGCTTGACTAGCCGACTAAATGCACAAAACTAGGGATCCCGCTCCACCATTGATCAAATATATTTTCACACTGAGTCAAGAATGGAAAATAAATCTAATATATTGATAACATTTCATGGGTTCGCATCATAGTTGGGTGATTCCTTCGCATCATAGTTGGGTGATTCCTTCGCATCATAGTTGGGTGATTCCCTGGACACCCCCTTTGAACCGTAATATAGTTTCTGTGAACCGATTCCCAGTATATTTGCAAACTAATTCCCTCCGCTACACGAATTGGTTCCTCAAAACTGGAGTACTGCTTATAAATATGCAGGGTGCAAAGTCCCTTTAAGTGTACATGTGCAAGATGCAATGCAATGTGCGCTATCGAGTAAAGGGAGACGCACAATAGAACATATGAGTCAATGACTTTACTATAACTAAATACCTATGTTAATAAAACATGAAATGAAACCATGATCCCAAACAAACTATGTGAAAAGATAAACAAAACAGAAGAATGAACTCCATAAAAAAGAAGTATTAAGTATTTCGTATGAAAAATATTGAAATGCGTAATTAGCTTTCAAGTTTCTAATTTTGTACTATGCACTTTGGACAAAGGTAAGCGCACCCAAAAAAAATCTTTACAACATACCACCGACTAAACTTGCTTACCAGAACAAGCTACCTCTCATCGAATCCAAATTTAATAAGTGGTGAATTGTGTACACGCATCCGTACCACAACTCGCTACGTAGCACGTACTGTGTAACTATGGTTAGCATCAATTAGATGAGAAAATTAAATGGCTAGTCACTGAAACCTTCTCTATATCCACCCCCTTGAGTGGATAGGTTATAATGTATCTAAATGGTTCAAATTGAAACTTGTTTATTATGGTCCTAAAATCTAAGCTCTCCAACATCTCCAAAGGGCCCCACTTTACGAAAAATAAAGTCCCCAAAATAAAAACCCAAAAAGTGTGTCTGGGTTATCTTTGAACGAACCTAATTTCTCTCTCTTATCCAATCCATCATTCATTTTGCGTTTCATCATTTACAACAGAATTCATGTCGAATTTGACAAAATACCCATTGAAATGCGCACACAAACAATCCAATGAAGTAGAATAGAACAAGGGGAAAATACCAAAAAGAAAAAGAAAGAGAGAGAGAGAGAGAGAGAGAGAGAGAAACGAACATACCTCCTGGTTGAGATAGAACAAATAAACGACACAAGAACTAAAGGAAGGGAATATCCTGTATTTCGATTTCTTTTATTCTTTTCTTTTTTTTTTCCCCTTTTTTCTTTTTTTTCTTTTTTTGGGTGCAATTTTTTGGGCAAAGATGGTTCTTGCAAGCGAAGAAATAGCAGGTTTGCTTGGAAAAACAGAGAGAGAAGAGAGAAGAGAGGATCTTACACATGTTTTAGGCTGGACATCAAAAAAGCCTTTGGGCCTTGAGAAAATGACTCAAAGTTTGCAAATGAATAGTTGGGCCATTTAATAGACAACAGTACTTCCGCCCCAATCCAAGTACTCAAAGTTTGCAAATGAATAGTTGGGACATTTTGATGAGGTTCAAACTAATTTATTTTAGAAGTAACAAAATAGGAAAAATGCATTTAAGAACCCAATCCGTACCAAAGACCAAATTGTTAAAAAATAAATTCCACCTAGAAACTAAATTATGAAGAAGATTGGCAAGTAGAAGAAGGAGCATGTTCACATTTGCAACCTTTCTACAGGGGAAAAAAAATTAAGAAAATAGGAAATAACATCTTTAAAGATAGAATAATGTGTTGTTTGCGGGGAACATGAAATGCAGAATATGATAAGTGTTTTGTTGGTAATTGGAGCAAGGAGTTGAAAGGTTTTTGGGAGAGAGGATTAATAAAGATTTATTTAGAAGAGTGATGTGAGAAAAATAGGAATTAGTAATTAAGGGGAACTAAATAGTCATGAGGTTTATAAGTAGAGAAATTAAATAGGTAAAAGCTTTAGGATTTGACAAGTGGACAAGTGGCAAAAAATGCAACTTAAGGTTGTTGTTTTATTAGTATATAGTAGTATTGATAGATAGAGAATAATTGAGCACATGTTCTGCTATCAATTTTAAATTAAGGGGCTAGTTGGTTCGCTATTATAAGGGGTGGAAAACTCAGAAAACCCCTCCACGTCAGATTTTTAACCCTCCACGTGGGGTGGAAAACTCAGAAAACCCCTCCACGTCAGATTTTTAACCCTCCACGTCAGCTTTTTTGTTTCCGTCCATTTCTTTGTGCCGCTTTGGTTCGCTCGAATGGAAGAGAGAAAACTCTGCTGAAATCGCCGCCAACTAAGATTTTTTTTCCCTTTCTGGTTTCCTTCCCCAACCAAGTGAAATTGATGAAAACTCTGCCACGTCATATTTTTTTCCTTCTCTGCTTTGTTTACAAAAGTTTTCCTTTTTTTTCTATGCGAACCAAACACGAGAAAAATAAATACATTGGTTTCCCACCATTTTTATGTGCGAACCAAAGCAAAACAATCTATTTCTTAGAAAAGTTTGAAAAACTCAAAACTTGTGTTTCTTTACGTGGAATTGCATTTCTCTATATCAAGGAAACGAACCAAACAGTAATAGAAAATCAACGCAATCAGAAAAATACTGTTATGTAAAGTTAAAATATCAGCCAAGCAGTGCAAATAGTATAGGAGTCGGTGCAATCTTCAACTTCCAAATTGGAATCGGGACAATTGTAATATTCCTATGTTTATTTCCCATGTGATAAAGGATGCTCTACCTCTATGTGACTTTCTTACTAACTTAGTTCCATAACTTAAAATCTAACATGAAAAACACTCACGATGAGATTAATACTAGACCACCGCTAAAAAAAGAGAGAGATTAATACTAGACGAAAATCTTTCGACCATATACTTTGATATCGTGATAGAAAAATACTAGTTAATGTACCAGAGACTTTCTCCTCGCTTTGGATAATAGAGATTTTATTCACATTTACTGGTGAAGAATCTTTCCTAGATTTTGAAGATACGAGATAGTTTAATATTCTTCTATATATTAATCAGAAAACATTGTAGATCATGCTTCATCTTTCAAGTTAAAACAAGGGTAATTGCACTAAACCCCATGAACCTTTTGGAATTGCAAAGAAACCCCTATGAATTTTTGAGTTCTGTAGATAACCCCCATAAATTAGAAACAAAAAGCAGCATAAAAAGAAATTTTGAAAGTTCATGAGGGTCTAGTGCAATTTACCTAAACGTTCATGGGGTTTTCTACAAAAATTATTGGTTTAGTGTGAATTTGAACGATCATGGGGATTTAATAAAAAAGCACTGAAAGTTCATGGGGATTCATTGTAATTTACCCTTAGAACTGGGGGTGCAAAATACTTCAGATTTATCCGGACCGACTGCAACCGTATTCGTTTAGAAAGTGGGTATGGTAGGGAAAAATTAAAACCGGTCGGATATGGTTTCGGATACGGTTTCGGTTAAGATTTATTATCCAGATACGGTTTCGGATAAGGTTAACAGGTCAAAATTTACGGATGCGATCCGGATATTTAAAATGGGCTAAGTATAATACTTGTATTGGGTCGGGTCTATAACATATACTCATGTTATCCGCAACCCGACCCAAATTCAACTCAATGAAACAATTCCAGAGAGTCCGCAGAGACACAAACCGGCTCAGCCTCCGCCTCCGTCTCCCGCTCCACATGCGCCTCCTCCTCCGCCTCCGCCTCTTCGCAGCTCAACTCTTCAAGAAGTCCACGGCCACCTCATCCTCTTTATCGACGCGACGATGACCATCAACGACGTCCGACCTCCTCTTCTCCTCCTCAATTTTGTATATCACTAAGGTAAATTCAAAACCCTAAGCCCTAATTTTTTTGATAAAAGTCCTAATTTCTATCATTTGTTGACTAAATTAAAAAACCCTAATTTATTTGATAAAAATCTCTAACCTATTAGCCCTAATTGTTTTTAGTTGCATAAATAATTCTAATCAAACAGAGGAAAACCCGGTCATTGCACAAGATGAAATTCTACTTATTTAATGTTGATGAATGCTTTAAAGTATAAAGTTGCTTTTAATAGATTTGAATTTAGCGACGACAAATACATTTATTGTCCATCAGATGAAGAATGGAATTATATTGAAACTTTGAATAAATGTTTGAAACACTTTTATGATGAAACTAATCTCCTTTCCGGTAGTATGTATCCTACTTGCAATCTTTTATTTGAAGAATTTTGTAAAATTCAATTGCTTCTAATAGAATGGTTGAAAAGTAATGATGATACAATTGTGTCTATGGCTTTTGCAATGAAAAAGAAAATTTGATAAATATTGGAGTATGTGTAATAAGATATTTACGATGACTACTTTTCTTGATCCAAGGTACAAAATGATTACAATAAAATATTGCTTTAAGAAGATTTATGGTGTGGATGGTGAAATGTGTGCACTTGAAATTTTAGATGTCATCAAAAAGTTGCATAGAGAGTATGCATCTCTTAAAAAAAAGCAATCCAAAAATGATGAAAATGCTTCAAACTCACAAGCAAAGGAAGTGGAAAGAGTTGGTGACAAAAGAAAATCTAGATTTGCACAATTTATTAAAACTATTGAGAAGGAGCTTACAAAGACGGATTTGGATTTATATATGGAAGAGAGTATTGTCCAACTCGAAGATGAAACAATAGGAAATTTTTGGTATATTGGATTGGTGGAAATCAAGTCTTGGAATGTATCATGTACTAGCAAAAGTTGCAAGAGATGTTTTGGGTATACCGACACCAACCGTGGCTTCCGAGTTAGCTTTTAGCACCGAGGGGCGTGTGATTCATTGTTATAGAAGTCGAATGACAACGGATATGGTAGAGGCGTTGATATGTGCACAAGATTGGATTAAAGCAGATAAAGGAGGTAAATTTATAAATTTTGCATAGATTCTGTTATATGTGGTTAATTGTACATTAAATAATTGTATGTTTTATTCTAATAATTTTTTTTGTAGTTACAAAAGTGCAAACTATGAATGATGATGCTCTTGATGTGGTTAAGCTTTCGGATCATGACGACTCGAAGGTTGCTGAAACTTTTATAAAAGCACCCATATGTATGTTATTTAACTTCATAAGCATATGATTTGAAATTTAAAACTTTTCACATATTTAACATGACAATTGCTCTTTTTATTTTTTCAAGGTGACATCGTGGAGGTCCTTGACTCGGATGATGAGATTTAATGTTTCTCTTGCATTGATGGGTCTCATCTTTTGGTTTATATTTTCTTCTCAAGAATATGATTGTCTTAGTTTGCATGTTTTTTTTGCTTAGGGAACTACATTATAGAACTTGTGAATTTTTAATTTATTGTATGTGACTTTGCTCATGTTAAGTCTATACGTGACTTTATTTTCGGATTTGTGACTTGTTATTTCTGGATTTGTGACTTGTTGTTTCTGGATTTGTGACTATTATTTTCGGATTATGACTTTATTGCGTGTTTTTTTGTCAATAACATGTGACTTTATTGCCATGAGATGAGAATGATACAAGATCTATGAATCAAAGAGAGAATGACTTCATATAGACATCAAATGGTTCATTTAAGGTAAGTTCTAGTTTGTGAGGTCAGTTGTAGTTGTTGATTATCACATTTTAGTTATGGTATTCAATATTTTTTTATTTTTTGTTTTGGGCTTGCTATGGTGTTCTAAGGTTTGTCATATAGAATAGCAACAAAGTCTATGAGGTAACTTGTCTTACTTTGCGAGTTATTAAAATCATATGTATTTTTTGTCATATCCTATTCATATCTATTTCCTAAATATCCGATTAGTATCTGTATCATATTTGTATCTGACTCTCTAATATCCGAAGTGTATCCATTTCCGTTTAATCCGGATATGGTAATGCTTTTTTCTTACCGATGAATATCCGAACCGTAATCCGTTTTCAGAAAGTGGTTATGGTTATGATAAGTGTCATCTCTGAACCGTATCCGAACCGAATGCACCCCTACTTAGAACAGCTGAATATTGATGAAACATGTTGGCAAGTTTCCTCAACTAGTTATCCTTTTCATGGAGATAGAACCTAGAAGCAATGTGGCATGAAAATAGTTAGATTCTCTTGACTCAAATTAAAACTTTGCCAAGACTTCAATAGATCACGTGGCCATAGAGGGTGACTTTTCTTGTCTGCAAGCTTACATATCATCAGAGTTTCTATAGTTTCTGGACTCTTCTTTTTTTGATGCCACCAATGAGATTCACACAATCAAGAGTGGCCACATAGAGCATCTCCCTTTACATGGAGACCACACGCATTTATGTATAGTAGGTTCATTTTATGGTTGGTTTGATTTGATTTCATGCATGCAACTCCGATCTGTGTGAAATTAGTGTATATATCACATCACTAGTGGAAAATCAGGCAAAGGAGTTCCTCCACGTGTGATTGAAAATCAGCAAGGCAAAGAAGATTAATGCTAGCCGTATATTAATATGTAACTTTACTTGCTTAATTTCAATCGGTTCGGTTCGGTTTGGTTCTCAACATAGAACGGTTATGTTCGGTTTCGTCAAAACTTGTAAAATTCAGCTGACCTGATCACCGTTAACTCACCCCTATATTTCTAACCCCGTCTTTTTATAAACAAAAACAATTAGGTAGGTTAGAAACTTTGACGTTATCAAAGTTTCATTTACTACTATGCCTTTCCTTAGTTGTAGATATATAAATATATTAAGAAACGATAACATGAATTGTCTTGAAAGGCAAACACAACCACAAAACCCCCAACAAAAATGTAGCAATCTGAAGCCGTCTCCTCTTTTTTGTACCCGGCCTAAAAGTAAGATCCAATGCTTCTACACTTGTCCTCCATTGGTATAGGACACCATCAAAGCGGTCCTTGCAATTATATATTTGGGGTATTTGTGTTGCTTAAAAATGAATATAATATTTGTGGTTGTTTTTTTTTTTTTTTTTTTTTGGGCCTTTTTTGCGGCTCACACTGCACCTCTCTCATTAATTCTCTCTTTCTCGTCCATAGGATCCTAAGAATCTCGAGGTTCGTCTAATTTTGTTTGATTCGACTACGTGTTTGTCTCAAAAGACTCCAAGGTTGTGTTCGAGTGGTAAAGAGGTGGAGTTATGAAAGGTCCAGAATCAAATGAGGAGAGATGGGGAAGGGATATAGTTTGGAGATATATATATAATTGTCCTTTTGTATGAACCGATTGTATTCCAAGTTGTTCTGATAGGATCTGTATTGGCTCCACACCGTTGCAACCTTGCTTTTCTAAAAAATAATGTTAGAGGCACACCACCCACCACAACCCCTGTGGTGGGTGGTGTGCCCCTAACACCACTCTTTTCTAAACAAGATGTATATCTTGATTATTTGATTTTACTTTAATGTTGTCCAATTGCATGTCTCCTCTGTGCACTACTACACTTTTGTCAAGAGTAGACACGGGATTTTGATCTAGTAGTATTTTCGTACAACTTACTAGCTCATTAAAAGTATTTTTGATAAATTTTGTAAAATGTATATTTGCTAATTTCACAACTTCATCCACCCTAACAGTTTAGTAATAATTCTAATTCTAATAGTCTTCTAAATAAAATGATCTTTTGATGTTTCATATTGTGGTTCCTTAATTTAAGTTATATCTATTATCTTAAAAGAGGATAAACAACAATTAGTCTCCGGTTACTTACGACGGGTAATCTAAACGGTTGGGAGATTACAATATAACTCACATAATTTTAGGTTCAATTTTCACCCTGGTTGATCTCACAACTATCTTGATTTTAGTTTCATACGTCCTCTATATACAATAGAGATGGATATTTCGAACCCACATATTTTATAACAAAGCCTGCTAGTTTTGAGAATAAATTGACGTAGCACAAATTTTTATCCTAACTCTTATACACAACATGACATTCTAATTTGTTCGTTCTAGAGGGATAACTTTGACGGTGCGTGGTTCAAACTATTATAGTCGACGTTGTTATGATAACATCTACCATTTCAAATCGATTCTATCTAAAGAGAAGTCATTTTTCTACACTAACTTAATTTTTTGAGTTCTTTTTAGCAATCATCATGTCAATCATTAATGACAAATTAATTGTTATTTTCACTGAAAAAGGTGTACTTGCCCGAATTCTTCCCGAATTTTTTGAAGCTGGGCCGAACAATTCCCGAACAAAGGAGGAAAGGAACATTCCAACCTTTCGTCTCTCTTTCCGTTGAGAGAGAAACACCGCTCAGCTACCACCTCCCCTTTACCCCAACTAACACCCACAATAAAAAAAATTAAAAATTAAAAAATTATTATTCACTAAATTCCCAAATATAAATAGAGCAACAAAACCCCAACTTTCTCAGTTTCTTTTGTCATTCTTTGCTAATTTTGTTGGGGGAAGGGGTTGCTCGATTTCAGGTCAGTTGGATTCTTGTCTTCTGTTGACTTCTTGTTTTATTTTGGGTAAAGACTAGAAATTTATGGTTTTTTGTTTGTGAATTGAATTGGGTTTTTTTTGGGGGTTCTGCGAGAGAGGGAGAAGTTTGGGGAATTGCGTAATTCTTCACTTTGGAAATACCTTTTTAATTTTTTTATTTTTTCCCCTTACCTCTGCTAATAATATTAGTTTCAAAATTATGGCTTTAGCGTGTTAGCGTAGAAGATTTAATGTTGGGAGAATAATGTGCATTTCGATTTGGGTCTTTAGAGTTGCTGAGTTCATTAATTTGGGAGTTTTGAGATCATTTAGCTTAATCTACTTCTTTTTAGCATAGTTTACTTTACTTTTTGATTTCCTGTATTTAGCAAATGGGCATATTTGGATGCCCATATGCTTTCAGTGTCTCAATTGTTTGAATTATGAGCTGTCTTTAAGTTGGTACTTATAAGTGATTAGAATTGTATTAAGGCGACAATTAATCGTCCGAATTATTCTTGACTACTCCATTATTTGAACTTTAATATCCTTAACTAAATGTAATATTTGGAGTTTAATTAACACTCTTATTACATTTTGAAGAGTAGCTGCCTCTGTGTTTAGATAATCAAACTTTTGTTGTTCATTCTTATGCATATATTTGTTGCCTTTTTCGCTTCTTTGTTGGTAGTTGTGATATGAAGGATTTAGTTAATGTGACGTTAGCAAAAACCAATGAATTCTCAAACCGTAGGACGACATAAAGATGTCACTGATTGGGTTGTGCATGTATGTTTGTGTGATTTTGGTGGGCTGTACTTGAACTTTGAATATTTGGTAGGATGGCTTGTACGATGCTTTTATTTGTGCATATTGAATCAAAATTTCAATTCTAACATAGTCCCTCTTTTCTGATCATCAGGTACTTTGAATCTTGATTTTTTTTTCTTTTCCTTAAGGTGGTCAGTACTGTAATGCACTGCTTTGATATTATGCTGACTCCAAAAGTTTTGCCTGCCTGTCCATGGTGGACTACTTGCTTATCAAGTGCACTTACAAATTCCGTTTTGAGGTTTAGTTCCCAGATGTCGAGCTTAGAGGAGCCGCTGGGTCATGATAATTTTCCCAGCTCATGTGGCATAGGTTGGATCCAGAGGTTCAGTCCTAATGCGTGCAGGCCAAGGGAAGATGAAAGAGACACTGATAATTGTTCTATCGAAGGAAGACAATGCAGCTCTTCGAATAGTTGCTCGTAAGTTTTATTCTTTCGATTTTCTAATTGTCACTAATAATCTGAGACAATCTTTTGAACTTAGGGAGTTACCTGAACCTTAAATCATCACAATGTCGAATGATAACTATTATACATGCCATCTTCATACATCGGTTCCTAAAGAACATGGATTCTCTGCCTTAGATTGAGAAGCTTCCAAATCAATCTCATTACCGATTGCACAAATTTGATGCTTCTCATCAATTAGTTACTGCTTTCCACTTCAATGCCTATAGAAAATAGAGCATTTGATGCGTGTTGCTGTCTCATAATGCTTCAAATTTTAGAGATGAATTAAACATTAATCATCTCCTTGAGATAGTATGATCAATTAAAAATGTTCAAGGAAAATATTGGCCAACAGTTACAAGACACCTTATAATCGATGCTAATTGTAAAAGGGTTAGTTGCGGATAGACCCCCCGCACTATCGCCTACTTGTGTCTAGACCCCCCGCACTAGTTGTGGATAGATCCCCTGTAGTTTTGTTGTTGCAGATAAATCCCAAGTGATTCTTTTACTATTCTATGCTTAGGAGGTCGTTAGTCAAAAAAACAATGTTCTCATCCTCTGAGGGTAAAAGAATCAAAAGAATTTCACTCAGAGGGTGTATTTGCAAGAATAGAACTACAGGGAGTCTGTCCGCAACTGCCGATGGTACAGATGGTCTATCCGCAATTAACCTATGGCAAAAACGACTCTAGTCTTTTGGAAGTTGCTTTATTTGCTAGAGAATAGAGTTATTAACTAATTAGTTTTACAGACGCCCATACTATTGTTCACAGAGATAAACCTCTACTTGATTGACCACACTAAGCTATGCCTTTTTTTTCTCCATTTTATGATTTTCATGTATGACTTACCTTTTGATATCAAACATAGATAGGCATGAGGTTGGAAATTATCAGATCTTTAAGTTTTGAAGTAGTTACTTAAGGTGATTTTAGCAGAGTATATTTGTGACCTGTCTATAGCAGGATTTATCTAGGATACTCTAGGGGTGAGCTCTCATTTTGATTACACGTGATAGGATCGGTAAATTTGTGAAATTCTCCTGGCCCTGATTTATTACTAAAGCCCTCAATATTTTGTTTGGTCATTAGCCTCTGAGAATTCAAATTTTGTAGGGGCCTAGAATATATGGAAATGGGGCTGAAAAAAACATTTGCTCAAGGGGTTCTTTGTTAATTTTCTTTAGCTAGAGATAAAGCTCTATTGTTGTTGAAGTGAATCAAGATTATTTTTGGACTATATTTATCATTTCGTTTCTTTTTAAATCTTATATGTTTATCTTTTTATCTTGTCCAGTTTGCTTCTTTTTAAGGCGTTGATTCTTTTGTTAACATTAATCATGTTGCATGGTACTAATATATTTCCAAATACACTTGTGTTTTTCCTCTTTTAGTGAAGAATATACATGGAGAAGACAAACAAAAGAAATGTACAGATCAAACTCTTTATTTTCAAGGACATCCAGCCCTGCTAGAAGCTGTAGGGTCTACAGTGATGTTTCCGATTCAAGGCATTTGCCAGGTCATCAGACTCGTCACTATCACTCGTCATGCACTGGGAGAGAAATAAGTGGTCTAGCAAATAAGGTGCTTGTTTTAAAATTTTAGTTTTCCATGCCCTACAGGTTGATTCTCTGAAATTTCCCTTAAGATACTTAGTTATTATGAAGCTGTAGTAATTGTTTTATGATACAGAAAAAATTCCTACACTGAAGTACTTTAAGCTCCTGCATTGTTTTTATATATAAAATTTTGGGTGTATTGGAGAGATTTTCCAAACTTTTCAGTTAAGATCTTGGTATTTGTCGTGCTTTGTGTACAGGTTATATGTCATTGGGTTGAAGATATCTAACTCTATATATTTTTCTCAGTTTGTTTTTCTGTATGTATTTACTGCATCAGACATCTCAAGCCTCTAATTATGCCTCTGTTCGAGATATATGAATGTCAATGCACATTGCAAGCCTCTAATTTTGTTTCTCTGAGAGCTATTCTTCACTCAGAGTCCTTAATAGGCAAATTTTGTTTTTCTGAGAACTATTCTTCCCTCAGAGTCCTTAATAGGTAAATTGTAGAGAACCTTTTTCATCTCACTGTTTTCAGCTATAATACCGTTGATTTCATTCTTAATTTTCTAGTTGTAGACCATGATATTTTAGCCCTTTCTTGATCGAGCTTATGATAATCCTAGAGATCGATAATCATTATTTGATTTGTTATTATTTTCAGAATAATATAAAGGAAATGTCAAAGCAATATATAGTTGTATTGTATTGTCTCGCTGAAATGCTCAAAAAGTTCTCGAGATTTTCTGTAGTTTGTAGCCTTATAGTCATCCTAGCATATCTACAACTTATGGCAGTTCTCGAGTGTTAGAACATATGGTGCTCTGGAAGATTTCTTTTTGCTAAATAGTTGATTTTCAACTGTTAAATGCACCACTTAGGAGGATAATAGGGAAAGGAGGAACAGAGGTACGCATAAGGGAACTGTGTTGGATGCAGTTAAGAAGGATATAATGATGATTAATTTGGTGGAAGATATAGCCCTCAATAGAACTAAATGGAAGAATATTGATTCATGTAGCCGATCCCAGAAAATTGGGATAAAGGCTTGATTGTTGTAAATATATGATTTTCAGCATAATCTAGTTTGTAATTCCCGTAAATGAAATAGTTATTATCTGGTATGACTACAGCAAACTTCTTCTGGTATTAAATAATAGAACAACCACAGTTTGTCTGGAGGAAAGCATGAGTTTTAAGAGTTTGATATGCCTGTTATTGACACCAGCAATATTAGTAACTTGATGTAGTTACTTAGTGGGTATATAGTTTATTAAAGTGTTTGCGTGTACTTTATGTACAAGGATATGACGTAAAGTGTATATCCTTATTTTGGAAATTCCTTACTTGGAGGGTGTTTGGGAAAGCTTATTCTTTAAAGCTTATAAGTTTTGCTAGCTTTTAGCTTTCACGATAAAAATGCTATAAAAATTGTTTGGGTAGAATAATAATAATTTTGGTCAAACCTAGCTTATTTAAATGAGTTTATAAGCTAGATTTTCAAAAGTTAGGGTATAACAGCTTTTTAAAATGGGGCTTATAAGTTAACTTATTTGATATTTACCAAACAAGTATATATTAAAAAGGTAGCTTAAAAGCTAGTTTGATCAAAAAATAAGTTCGTCAGACATCTTCTTAGTCTTTAAGAGTCTTGACTTTAAAACCTTTAAGCATTGACAACTTTTTATCAAATAAGCTGTTCCTAGCTGTTTTCTTGATTTCTAATCATCTATGTTTTTCCTAACTCTGTGTAAGATGTGCCACACTTGCAGTTTTTAAGGGGTATGCCAAATTTTGTAAAGATAGTGGAAGTTGGACCCAGAGATGGATTGCAAAATGAAAAGAAAACTATACCAACGGCTATCAAGATTGAATTAATACACAAATTGGTCTCTTCTGGATTATCTGTTATTGAGGCTACAAGTTTTGTGTCTCCAAAATGGGTCCCACAGGTAATGTCACTGCTTCTGAGTTCTGATCACATACAAACTTATTTCTTTGTACATGCAATTTCTTGATTTTGCTGTTCTCTTATATGAAAATCTCATCAATATTATAATTTTCATTATTTACCCTGTCCTATACGGCTATACCCCCATACACTCATAATGTTTTTTTTTAATTTCCTTAAAAATATGATTATCAAGTCCAATGCCTTAGCAATGCAATATGTAAGGGATCAATCATTGTTCTAATGTTGATACAATCACAGCTAGCAGATGGAAAGGATGTCATCGAAGCAATTCGAAACATAGAAGGTGTAAGGTTCCCTGTGCTAACACCAAATCTCAAAGTAAGCCAAATTGTCTACCTGAAGTATAGGCACTTGTTTTATATTATTTCATGGAAAATGGGTAATTATTCATCATATTTTCTTCAGGGATTTGAGGCAGCTGTTGCAGCTGGAGCAAAGGAAGTTGCAGTATTTGCATCAGCTTCTGAGGCTTTTTCTATATCAAACATCAATTGCAGCATTAAAGAAAGCCTTGCACGTTATCGTGATGTCACTCTTGCTGCGAAAAAGTTGGGAATACCTGTACGAGGGTAAGTTTTGGATATTGCCCAGGAATTTATTTAAAGTTTTAGATATTATATTGCTAATGTTTCAGAGGAGCCACATTAGGTTTCTGACTTGTATTAGATTTTGCGAATATTTCCTTACAAGCGTAGTAAGCACTTATTTTAAACTTAGTGTGATTATTACATGTTCTTTTATTGCCTAAAGCAAATTAGTACAACCTGACATGATTGACCTACAGAAATTTGAGTTTAAGCTGTAGCTACTTGTGTCAAACATAAAATACTCATGGATACTGGTAACCATAAAATAACTGCATTTGATCTGTAATATAGATAGTCTTAATACTTTTGTTATGATTGTTTTCATTAAATTTGGCAAACATGACACTGTATGTTTCCTCAGATAAGTGGCATAATGCAATGTTGATTCATCATTGGTCAAGCACATGGAAGGAGATATATCAGCTCTCATCACTGTGTACTTTCATGTATATATGGAAGTGTTTGCATATTTACCTGCATTTGCTGAAAGGTTATATTTTGTGAGCTTTTTAATGAGACCAGTGACAGATAAGAATCGTGGTGAGCTCTCTTAAAATAGTAGGTGCATAGATGTCATTGACATAATGAATACAAACTTTGCATTTCTGAAACTTGGCTCTTCTGATTTTTCTTCTTGTAATGAGTTCTATTTTTGTTTTTTGTTTTTTGTTTTTTTGTTTTTTGTTTTTTTGTTTTTGTTTTTGTTTTTTTTTTTTTTGGGGGGGGGGGGGGCTTGAATTTCTTGTATGCTAATTATCTAATCTATTATGCATTTCTGTGATAACTAATTATAGAGATGTGTCAATTTTCATTCTGAGCATATTTTCATGACCATTTTTTAGAACTAAGGATTTTAATTTGTCATATTTTATTGTATAGGTATGTGTCATGTGTTGTGGGTTGTCCAGTAGAAGGGAAGGTGCCCCCATCAAATGTTGCATATGTAGCGAAAGAGCTTTATGACATGGGATGCTCTGAGATCTCACTTGGCGATACAATTGGAGTTGGAACCCCAGGTCAGATTCATACCATAACAACTTTTACTTGGTTAAATTTTAGGGTGAAATGTAAGTAGTCTCCCCAAATAGGGCAAAGATGTGCAAAGTTACTTCATTATTAATATTTTTAAATAGGACATGATAAATTTGCTTGGTATTATGGATAACTTGAGGACAGTATGAATTTTTAATATAATATGAATCTACTTCAGTTTGAAAACTCACAATGCTTGATAAAAATGGAATAACATTCGTACATGCTAGACCCTATTAATAGAATTTGGTTAAAAGTGAAAAATATGTGGTATCTTATCGCAAAAGAGGCCAGACATATTGGTTAATCCCATAGAAGTTGTTTCTGTTGAACTTGTTTTATCTGAATCTGACAGATGTCTAGACCAATATTCACTTAAAAAGATATGCATCAATTGAATTATCATATCCCTTATTGATAAAAGCTTATTTATTTGAATAATTTCAATAAGATTTGTTCTCAATATATATATCTTTTGAGTCAAATATACATGTATGACATTTTTCTCCTTGTTTCTGGAATTTGAACAGTCTTCAGGTGTACTACCACTTTCATCATGAAAGTTAATAATAAATTACAGAATCAAAGACAGACGCCGCCCCCCCCCGCCGGCCCCACACAACACATGACACGCACACACCCCACCCCACCACGGACGGCATTATTACAGGCAAAAGCAGAAATTCTTTGATGTGGTCTTGCTCCTTGTCTGTTAACCGAGTCTTTTTATTCTTAAGTCAAAAAAACCACAATTCCTTGTATATTCATTTATCATGCCTGACGCTAATACCCTGTATATTACCCTCTACAGATGTAGTTCATTTGATACTACTTGCGTATTTTTACTCTGAGAAACATTTCTTACATTTTCCTCGTTGCTTGTTGGTTATGTTGTAGGATCTGTCATTCCAGTGCTTGAAGCTGTCATGTCCATGGTTCCCACTGAGAAGTTGGCTGTCCATTTCCACGATACGTATGGCCAGTCTCTTGCCAATATTTTGATCTCCCTCCAGGTAAGTAACATACCTCGAGCTTGGGGG